GTCATTTGTCCCTACCTGACATTAGATTATCTTTTTACCTGTTTATTGTCTGTCCCTCTTGCAACTGTGAGGGCAGGGACCTCACCCATCTTGTTCGCTGCTGTATTGCCAGCATTTTACACAGCATCCCGCCCACAGGTATCAGTAGAGATTTGGTGAATAAGTGAATGGGGCAATCCAGATCAACATGATTTGAGGCAAGTCATGGGGGCTCCATCCCCCAACACTGTGACACCTTGGGAGTGTCCATCTCGGGCAGCTTTGTAGCCTGAGTCTCAGGGCTAGGAGGAGCTAGAGAACAGAGACCTGAAGGAGGAGAAAGGGCCAGCGATGTGACTCTCTGGGGAGCACGTGCACCAGGAAGCAGGTACAGCAAGTGCAAAGGCCCTGCAGCGGGATGACAGCGGGAGATGTCAGTAGACAAGGCTGGAGAATCAGTAGGGCCCAGATCAACAGGGTCTTGAATGTCAGGTGAGGGTGTGGATCTCATCCCACCACCTTCATAGTGAGGCGTAACAGACGGGAGAGGTAACAAACGTTTCTGCAGTATCTCCTGCCTGCCAGGTACCCCACCTCTCACTGTGCTCACTGTGAGCCTTACCACAAGCCTATGAAGAGGTATTCGTCCATTTCCTGGAAGGAAAATGGACCTGCGTGGCTCAGAAACACAACTGTGAGACTCTAAGCTTCAAAGGCTGGGCTCCTTCCACTGCCCATCGCTGCCCTTGACCTTCGCCCCGTCTTAGGCATGTGATCCTGCCTCTCCCTCCTTTCTGGCTTTGCTCTAACTTGGTGACCAAAAGCACGTCATTCTCTAGGCCAGAAAAACAACTTGATGCCCATGAGACACATCTACCTGGGACGTCAGCCTGCACCTCACACAGAGCAGGCCCCACACAGAACTCTGGTCTCCCGGCTCCCCCGACCTTGTCCTCCCCCCCCTGAGTCAATGGCACCTCCCTCTTTCCAGGGGCTCAGGCCAGACACCTGGGAGTCACCCTCGACTTCTCTCTCCCTCACCCCCACATGCCCGTGACCAGCAAATCCCGGCCACCTTCAAAACGCAGCCAGAATCGACCACTTCTGCCCGCTCCACGGTCACCCTCGCCTACCCCTCCAGCCTCTCCCGCCCGAACTATTGCAGTCACCTCCTCTCTGCTCTCCCGCCTCTGCAGGGGCCCTGAGGCCACGGTCCACCTGCAGCCAGGGGGGTCCTATTAGAATGTAAAGTCAAGGTCCCTGTACAAGTCCTTACCAGAACTGCCCAGCAGAACTTTCTGTGACGGTGGAAATGTTCTATATCTACACTGTCCAGTTCATTAGCCACCAGCCACATGTGACTACTCAGCACTTCAGGATAACTGAAAGACTGAATGTTTAATTTTACTTACTTTAATAGCCACGCTGGGCCGGCCCCGTGGCTTAGCGGTTAAGTGCGCGCGCTCCGCTCCTGGCAGCCCGGGTTCTGATCCCGGGCGCGCACCGACGCACCGCTTCTCCGGCCACGCCGAGGCCGCGTCCCACATACAGCAACTAGA